ATAAAACAGACAAGTTCGCACTTATATTTCTAGCAACCCATTATGGGTGGGAAAGAAAACAGGAAGACAGTGGCACTGGAATTAGCCCAAGGCTTTGCTATCTTAAACAGCTATAATCCACCGAAAGGATGAGGCTCCTCCATTATATTCTGTCTCTGACAGCATTTTCAAGTTGGCCAGCTCTTGCTTTTGCTGTCATTGGGCTTCTTAAGAAAACATTCATTTAGTGATTTTATATCCTGCCTTTCAATTCAAGTAGAAAACCCATAATGGCATATAATATATCAAGCAGAGTCAGTACAAAATAATATAAATATACAAACAGAAACCAGAATAAGGCACCAACTATCAAAACAATGCTACCCCTGCTGTTCCACAAATTATATCCTTAGCCTAATCCACAACAGTCAAAAGCAAACTAAATCGCAGATACATGCCTCATGCAAGTTCCTTTGCTCATGTTTATCTCATTACACTTGGGCTGAGTTGTTCAAAAGCTTCTCTTTGCATGTTTATTTCTTGAAAACTCTGGATTAGGAACAGAGTATCCACAGGATTTCTTCAGCTACAATTCCTCCAGCACAGCTCTTTAAAACAGAAACTAAATTTCAAACCTTGAGACAAATTTGGTGACACCCAAGTTAGCCTCAGAGCTCAACATTTACGACGATTCTCTGCAAGCTGGGTGTCAACTAATTTTCAAAAGGCATGGGAAATTAAGTTAAAGGATGCTTGCAGCTTAATGGCGTTAATTATGATGGGCTGTTCTTTAAGGAAAAAAATAGAAGGAAGTTTTCTGAGCTGAGGGCAGCAGAGCTTTCTAAATCTATTTTTGATGACAGGAAAGCTCTTAAGATGATATCTCATTCTACGCTTTAAACATTGAAAAGTATCTTTTCAACATGCCTTCAGTTTAATAGCTTGGTAAATAAAAAAATTCAAAAAGGGTTTGGCACAGCACCCTGTTATATAGCACTTGGCACAACTTGTAAGAAGAATAAAGTATAGCTCAGGTGTGTGAATTTGGCACCATTTTCTCTCCTAAGGAAGATAGGTGTCTGGTGGCATGTCAGAACCTATCACTCCTAAAAGTCACTAAGGGAAGAAACTCCAACACTTAACTCTTTATGGAATCTAATTTCATGGGTTACAATAAGGTCAAAGTCATTGCACAGTAAAGGCACACTGATGTAGACCTCTGCAATCAAGACCTGTGTAACAGGGCTAGGAATCTAGATGGGAATCACCAGTTCGGATCTTGCCTCTGACACAAATTCACTGGGTAGAATTAGTCAAGCTACTTACCACCAGCCTGACTTCAATGTGGGGATACTACAGGGACTTACCTGACAGTGCTGATGTGAGAATTAAGTCTAGGTTTGTGTGTAGTGTTATCATTATTAGACACAGATTGACTATGGGCATATGAAGCTATCTCTTAACATAGGCAGACTACTGGTTCATCTAGTAGCCTAGTATTGTCTGTTTTGAGTGCCAGAAATCTTCCATGGCTTCGAACTGAAGCCTTTCATATCATTTGCTACCTGACCATTTAAATGGAGATTGAAATCAGGATCTTCTGCATTTGATGCATCTGCTCAACTACTGAGCTGTGGTTTTTCTCTTAATACTCTGTGTGTGTAGACTGGGCTTAAATTTCTCAGAATACATATTTATTTACTTTACTTTACTTTACTTCGCAGTAAAAGCTGGCCACTTTACAGAATTATCTTTGAAAATTCTCCACCATTTTTTTGTGGTGGCCACCAATTTCACATATCCTCCATAATGCCCTTAAACAACATATTATGGAGAATGCAAAATGGCGGCCAGGCTGCCAGCACAGTTGCTGATAGTATCACACAACATCTTAGAAAAAAAAGAATGAGTGAAGCCACAGCTAACGGTGAGCCCCACAGCCAAAGAACTGTTGTAGAATTTCTCTTCCCTCTGGAGAAATGTGGTGAAATTGTCCCCCCCTCACTAATTTCTCTGACCGCTAATAGGGTGGACAATTTCCAGAGACCATTTGCGTGCATCTCTAAATTCTATAAATATCAAGGCGGCATCTTGAAAAAAACAAACACATTTATTGTGGGAGAAGCTTTCATGAGCCAGAGCTTGCTTCATCAGATGGCTCACAAAAGCTTCTGGCGTCATAAAGTTGATTGTTGAGAAAGGTGCCGCTAGCTTTCTTGCTATTTTTATACACGAAAATGTTTTATTTTTGTCCGCTGATATTAACGTATAAGTAGATATGCATACAGAAAGCTACTTGGAACTGTGGTCTACTGCTGAAGCAAGGCAGATCTGGCCCTGTGGGAAACCGCCTTGATAGGAGATTGACCGGCAGCCATACATCAGCTCCTTTGAGCTGTTTGGAGAGAGTATAATAGATTCCCCAGTTCAGCTGAAGTTAGGCTGCATGCAAAGAAATGGAATATGCTAGCCATTACTAGCTCAAGCATGCAGTCCTATACTCAGTTCCATTCAGGGGAAATTCTAAAATGGGCACCTTATGTCACCAATTGTTTTCACCAACCACATTGCAAATTGCATTATGGGTAGCCTGTTCTACATGGTGAGTCAGCAGTGCTTTGTTAGTCTACAATGGACTGGCTGCTGCAACTGGATTTAAATTCACAGAAAACATTACAAACCAGATATATGGGACTAGGCAATGGATGAGCTCTGCTGGATCCGGCCAAAGGCCCATCTAACCTAGCATCCCATTTCCCACAGCAGGCAACCAGATGGTTGATTATAGGAAGACCACAAACAAGACATAAGACATAGCCCTCTTCTGTTGAAGAAAGTGGTATTCAGAGGCAGCTCTGATACCAGAAGTAGTTTATAGGCCTCGTGATCACTAGAAGCTGTTGTTAGCCTTACCCTCTATGAACTGTCTAATTCCTGCTTAAAGCTATCTAAGTTGATGTTCATCATTACATTGAGTGGCAGCCAATTTAGCAGTTGAAAGTTAATACAGCCTGCAATGAAACTGCAATGTGTTGTGTAACTCAACATGCTGAGTTGCCTTATTAAACTTCAAAGCTCACCTAAATTCAAGGTTAAGATATATGGGGTGGGACACACCCCTTCAAATGATTGTGCCTGGGTATGAAGTGATGCAAGTCAGTAACACTTCACCTGCCATAGACGTCAAAGCTGTAGTATGAAGTTCAAGAGACACAAAGCCCAGGATAATAATAGGCTGGTGCTTGGGCAGCTATAATCAATATACAGGCAGAGGTCATTCCAGGCCAAGGTCTGGATCTGAGTAACCGTCTAAACAAAATGTCAAACATAAATTGGGGGTCTCAAGGTGAGAATGAAAACAACCAAGAACCAGACTACCAAGGTTTCTGGCCAAGCACTGGGTATCTTAAGACATCTAACAGTTCAGTAGCCAAAGCTAAGCAGGTATGGCCTTGTAAGGTGTCTGGATGGGAGATGCCCATGTTTGGCATCAGCACACAGCATCTCTGGGAAGCTACAGGATCACTGCTGATGCCTGCTTTGAAATCCCTCCTTTTAAAAATCATACCACCAACACTTCAAAGAACATGAGCAGCGCCATTTTGATTTCCCGCAATTCCCCTGACGTAGTATTGCTTTAGGCATTGTTTCAAAACAAGATGTACATGTCATGATGGTTTAGTACCAGGTTCAGGGAAACAACCTTTAAAATAAAAAAGGGGGCAGAGAAGAAGGAGGAAAAAGAAATGCTGCAATGCTTCGGCAAGACATTTTCATTTCAGCCACATAGGAGATTTTTAGTTGTGCAGCAGCAACCAAGAATGGCCATTTACAGGTTACACTAGAGATGCTCAGGGATTTCGTTCGGCCTGTATTTTTAAGCAAGCCCTCCCAGTTTGGACATCCCATTCTAATATTTGGCCTGGAGCACAGTTATCCTTCAGCTTTTGTGTGGCTCACTAAAATGCAGGTGCAAATTATCGTTTTAGGTTAAAATGGGTACAAAAATATGTATTTTAGGGTAACCTGCATACAGAAATGCATATTTTAGAATAAAATGCATAGAAAAATGTATTTTCTGGTGGGAAATACATTCAGAAAATGATGCAAATACATTTTTTTAAAAAAGATGGATGTAGCAACAGGATGGAACAGAATTAGGTATGAGCACGTGAAACTGACAGACCAGAAATAGACTGATATATCCCTAGTTTCTTTTGTCTGACACATGACACATGGATGAGCTCTTCCACTCAGTTCTTTAAAAATGGGCTTTCTGGAGCATAATTAGTTCTGCAGCTCCAGGTTTATTTATTTTGAATTTTTGCATCTATCAGACCAGTTCCTAAGGTATCACCTCCAGGAGGAAAGGAAACCACTGGAGTCTTCAGGCATAATGAGTTGCTGACTCTCTAGCATGGCTATTGCCAATGCAGCTTTCTCAGCAGAGCAGCTGGATTTGGGATATGAGCACAGCTTTACAGCACTGACGGATTTTGATTTGCATTTTGCCTGCGCAGAACAAGCTCCTAGTTATGTAGGTCATCATATTTTGCAAGATGAACACCGATGCTCGGTAAATGACGGAAAGGAAACCACATCATTTGTATGAAATTGGAGATTGCTGGAAAGGAAAGAAAGGGCAAAGAGAACGGCATTGGCATTCGAAGTTGCTGTTGGGTCATGCTTCCCTTGCCAGGCTAGGATATGGTTTTACGTCACTGAACCCTGGTGAAAAGGTTAGATCCTCTGTTCATAAGTTGCCACCTTGGGCTGCGGTTTCATAACAATGCGTGCAGGCATGCCTAAACATCCGTTGTATTATTCAGCTGCATGTATCAGCCAACATAATCTCTATCCATGCTTGAGTGAGTAGAATGTGTAAACCTGAACAGTTTAATGTACAGCAGAACATCTTGACACCCAGGCAGGGAACCTGTGCAGTTTGCACATGGGGAATGGCCACAAAGAACACCTTTCTCTGTGAATTGGCCTCAATTGCTCTGTCTCTTTGCCTTTCCCTGCCCCAAATTCTCTCTCTCTCTCTCTCTCTCTCTCTCTCTCTCACACACACACACACACAGAGAGAGAGAGAGAGAGAGAGAGAAATAGCCACTTGCACATTGCCAAAAAGGTTAAATGCATCCTGATAGAAAGAGGACAACAGATGATCCAGACTTGCATAAAGTTAGCGCATCCTCATTTATAAGTATATAAATGTCATATCCTCCAACATGTTGAGTCCCAAAATTGGGATGCTCATCTTCCCGTCAGTGCTCCTGCTCAAGTCACATGACCCAGGCAAGATCATAGAGCCCAAAAAAGCAAAATTTTGAGGCACCGGGGTGGGGTGAGCTCTTTTGGGCGGGGCATGATCTCACCATGAAAAAAAAATGCTTTGTGTGTCCACTTTACCGTAAATCTTGCCCATTTCTAAAATTTATTTATTCATTCATGTTTTTCTTTTTGTAAATCGACCAAAGAATAAAATAAAATGGGGATTAAGAATTTTTCTCAGTGAAAGGTGTGTGTGCTAGGTCCTGTTGGTGCAGTGGGGGTAGAAATGCTCCGGGTGTGTGTGAGAAATGTCCCTATTTTCATCTGAGGAATGTTGGAGGGTATGAGGTTGTTCTAACTTCACAGCATTTTTCTGCAAGCAAAGACTCTGCCCAATTTCGGCTCAAAACACATCTACACATGGCATACTGACTTTCCTCCTACAGTGGTACCTCAGGTTACATATGCTTCAGGTTACATACGCTTCAGGTTACAGACTCCGCTAACCCAGAAATAGTGCTTCAGCTAAAGAACTTTGCTTCAGGATGAGAACAGAAATCGTGCTCTGGCGGTGCAGCAGCAGCAGAAGGCCCCATTAGCTAAAGTGGTGCTTCAGGTTAAGAACAGTTTCAGGTTAAGTACGGACCTCCGGAACGAATTAAGTACTTAACCTGAAGTACCACTGTATATTGAGAGCATATACAGTGGTACCTTGGGGTGTGAACGGGATCCGTTCCAGAGCCCCGTTCACATCCTGCACATCTGCGCTTCTGCAGGTCGCGTTTCGACGCTTCTGCGCATGCACGTGATGTCATTTTGAATGTCTGCACATGTGTGAGCGGCGAAACTCGGAAGTAACACACTCTGTTACTTCCGGGTCGCCAGGGAGCGCAACCCGAAAGCGCTCAACCTGAAGCGTATTTATCCCGAGGTATGACTTTATCGAGTTGCAGAGGGACAGCCATGTTGGGGCACGTTCTACATGTTATTCAATCAGATCCATGTTCAGATGGCTCAACTTCAATTAAATTAAAGACCTAGAAGTATTAATTGGGTACACAATATGCCTTCCCCTCCAGTATCTTTGGAGGCAATTTTGAGTGGGGAAGTGACGGGGGAAGGAATTAAACCCCAGCACTACATCTCTGATCCAACTGGCACCCCTCCACCAAGTAGCTGCTTTTCTGCATTATAAGAACTGCCTGGAGACCCATTCATGAATGCTCCATATAATATGTAGTGTGTCCTTTAGTCTGTTTCGTCAAACCAGTGAAGTGGGGTGGTGGTGGTGGAAGAAGTATTTACTCACAATATTTGCATACTACTTTTCAGTCAGAATGCTTTCCATTATAATTGCAAAGATGACTTGATCTTTTAAGGGAGGCATGGCCAAACTTGGCCCTCCAGCTGTTTTGGTACTACAGTTCCCACCATCCCTGACCACTGGTCCTGTTAGCTAGGGATGATGGGAGTTGTAGTCCCAAAACAGCGGGAGGGCCAAGTTTGGCCATGCCTGTTTCAAGGTGCCTGCAAAACCCCCTGCCCTTATCATGGAACCAGGATTTCAGTTGTAATATTTCCACAGCTGTCACAGCTCCCAGAGATTGTACCCAGGTTAGGATTTCAATCCTTCTCTTCTCTTTGGCTGCTGCTCTTCTAGCATTGTTTTATTAGATGGGCTGCCAGGTTTCTATTGTAAATCACTGTTTTCATTGCCTGGCCAGCCTGCCATAATAACACACTGCTGGCATGTTTATCATGTTTAGCTCTCTCCCCCCTCCTCTTCCTCAATGCCTCACAGAACTTATTTCTGTCGTTCTGAGATAATATTCTGCATTTTCCCTTCCAGCAGCAGCTGACAATGGTAAGGTGAGAAACACAGAATATTATGACACTGATAAAGCACTTGGAGACAACCATACAAGGGATTTTGACAGGCAGATGAGACAACCCTGCTGTCAATCATCTGGTCTCATAATCCTGTTGCGTGACTGACAGTTGAGTTGGCCGAACACACTTGTCAAAGTTTAGCAGCTTTGCCAAAAAAGGTTTCATGCCTCTGTTCCACAAGACCTTTTATTTTAGCAAGTGGGGAGATGTTCAAACAACCATCTTTTTCAGTGTTTAGCTTCACCCGCAGATGTCAGCTACAAACTCCAGGGTCATGACTAGGTACAACATTTCTCAAACGGCACAGCCACAAATAGACACTTTGCCCCGGCACATTTGCACAAGGAGCATGGTGAAATCGCTCTGTGAAGTGGAACTCTGAAAGCTTTCTCACAGCAAGGTCCATTTCGGCTCAGTCTTGTTGACACAGCCGAGTCGAGCCTCTCCAGGAATCCAGACAGGGGTCTTTCCCAGTCCTGCTTGGAAATGTCAGAAACTGAACCTTGGATCATTTTCATGCAAAACATGTGCTTGACCACTGAACTACTACTTTTGTCTTTTCCTGTTAGTCATGTGGACCAAACAATGCAAGCTGAAGAAGGCACATACCTGGGCTGTAGGGAATGGGACCAGACATACTGAAATTTTACCCCTGAGCGACTGAAAATTACAGCTGTTTCCACATGCCAAGATGGGCAAAGCCTCCTCCTCCTCACTTTTCCCTTTTGTGTTACTCCTTTTTAAATGGTTACGTCTGCAGGCAGGGACTGTCTTGCTTTTACCGATCTTACACAAGCTGCCCAGGGAGCCTTTTTAGCTGCAGAATGGAATAGAACTGTTTTAAATGATTGCACAAATAACAAATAAGAGAAAACTATAGAATTGATATCTCTTGCTGAGCCTAGTCAAACTTCAGAGTGTCCAAACTTTTCTTTAATAAAACACCCACAGACACCCCCACACAGATAATTTGCTGAATTTTAAGTACCATTATATAGGAATGAAACAGGAAATGAAGCCAGCTCTCTCCAGCCTACTTGTAAATTATACGCAGGTAAACCAAACACATAAATTGTGCCAATAAAAGGAGTGAAGGAAAGAGGTCACATGGGAAGAACTGGTGGTGCGACATTAATGCTAAAAAAAAAACTTTCTGAAGTTAAAGGGAGAGCATTTGATCCAGGAGTGGGTGTGCTGCTGTGGTGTCGCCATGTTTCCCTCCCAACAGTGGCATCACTGGAATAGCATGGTGTGGCTTGGCAGCAGTGAGACTGGGGCTGCATGGGTGCACCAGCTTGAATTGCTTGATTGCTTCTGCCCACTCAGCTCTGCACCAACAAAATGGAGCAACTCTATGTTGGAAGTGTGACAACACAGGACCCCCTCTCCCTACCAGCTACTCGCAATTTGTTCAAAAAGGCCCCATTCACCCTTCTAAGAAATACTGAATAATAGCCACACACAAGAAGAACAAAGAGAGAGTTTGAAGGCTTCGCCTGTAGGACTGTAAATTATTTGATGTGTTAATGCCAATGGAAGTTGTTAAAATTGCAGCTGCGATATAAGGGTTTGCTATTCTGACTGGTATGTAATTGGAATTTATAAGTTTTTGGAATGCCTAGAAAGTAAATTGTCTAATCATCAAGTCTAGCATGCAGGGGGCCAACAAAATAATATAATTTGGCATCTGAACAATTGGCATTATTGATTGTATTATAATTTGCTATTGATAATGAGGCTTTTATTAGGTTGTTGTAATTGAAAACTAATAAAAATGACCATACATAAATAGAAATGCTGTGCTTTACAAACAGACAGGATGCTATTAATAATGCAACCGTTTATATCAGGCTGGGGTGGGGTATTTCTTCATGCAGCGTATTGTTGAACTATGGAACTCACTCCCACAGGAGGCAGCAGTGATGTAGATGGCTTTAAAAGAGAATTAGACAAATTTATGGAGGATAAAGCTATCGGTCGCTGCTAGCCATGATGGCTATGCGATGTTCTACCTTCACAGCTGGAGACAGAAATGTTTCTGAATACCACTTGCTGGAAACCACAGGACGGGAGAGTGCTCTTGTGGCTTCCCACAGGCATCTGTGGCCTGATCCTGTAGGCTCCTCTTCTGATCTTAGGTTCAATGGTGTCAGACCACTTTGCCCCACAAAAGCTTCGGTAGATCTATAGCTTCTTAACTGAGTAGGTCACAAAGACCTTAGCATTGTAGCTTACTTGTTAATGTTGGTTGCATAAAATGCTGATTCCCTTTTCTTCTCCTGCCCAATTTCCATTTGACTTTCCTGTTGCATGAGGTCACCCTTGAAACTATTACTTCATTGCAACCCAAACACAATGGAGGAAAGAAGAGAGGAGTGACTGGTGTCTGTGAGGAGAAGAGTCTACTTCCTGTTTTCCTGGAGGTGGCCCATGGTGTCTGATGTCACTCCTTCCTCTATGAGGAACTGAGCCTGGGAATAATGCATTCAAGCATTTTGTGCCTACAGGGTATGCCCCTGGAATGGGAGGGTGTTGAATCCATTTCCACCACATGACCTTACAGAAGAATTCATTGAGTCATTTCCTCTGCACTGCTTTCTTGGCACTTTATGCTGATCTTGTGAGTAACACTGTGACGTCTGGATAGATGGAAGGAACTCTAGAAATAAGCACAGGAACCATGTACGACACCCAAAGCTAGAAGGAGCTCTCTGGGTTGGGTAGAGTTGCTAAGGTAGCTTCCCAAAAGGTACGTCCCTGTTGAGGCAGCACACTAACAGGAGCACCTGATTGGCTCTGTTGATGTGTTTGCACCATGATGACCTCACTACCACCTCCACCTCTTCTTCCCAGTTAGCAACAGTGATTTCCTGCATGGAAGGTAGTGTAGTGTAGAGCTCTACTTCTGCCCTTAATGATCATTCGATCCCAGGACCAAACTAGACATGATGGCAT